CCAGCTGCCCTCCTCTAGCTGTCCTCCTGCAGCTCCTCACGGCTGTGCTGCAGGTCCTGGCTCACCCACGCCAAATGCTCAATTGGGAAGAACCCCCTTTGCTGTTCGGAAAGAGCTGCAGAGCCCTGCCGGGAGCTGGCACCACGGGAGCAAGGTCCGTTGCAGCCAGATTAGCGAGGAGCATGGAGGCTTGGGGAGGGAGAGGAAGCTTTCTTTTTCTTTATTTAAAAAAAAAAAATGTAAAATTAAACATTGCAGAACCTTCCCTCCTCTCTCATGCTGCTTCTCCAGCTAAACCGCTCTCTGCAGTGGCTGGGGCAGAGCTGCCCGGCCCGGCGAGGCAACCCCCTTTTTTTTTTTTTGCCTGACCCAGGCAGGACGAATTTCGGTCCAACCCAGCACCCATCCTGCCTGTTGGCACAGATCCTGGCTTCAGACGCTGTCTGTAAGCCGTGAACCCTGCCAGCTCCTCAAAACCCATGTTTCCTTGAGCTCCGGGCTCGGCCTGTGCAAACATCTGTGCTGGCAGTGAGAGAAGCAGGGAGGGAGGGAGAGCTTCCCCGTCCAAACCTTTCGTGCCTTTCCGCTTGCTTTGCAGCCCTGTTCCCCTTCCCGTGACTCCCTCCTGCCAGGCTGGAGCTGCCCATCGTCAATAAGCCTTGTTGATCCCAGGAGAGCTGCCATGTTGGCTTTGGCACGGCCGAGGTTTCCCCGCTCAGTTCCGGAGCCTTTCTTGCTCCTCTGCAGATAACAAAGGCTGCTTCAGCATGGCCTGGTGCTGCGTCCCGCAGCTGCGGGCAGCCTCACAACCTCACTGCTCTTCCTTTTCCCTTTTTTTCCGCTTTGCCCAGGAGCAGCTGTTTTAAAGCCGTGCTGCTCTTGGGGACTGGGAGCGTCAGTACGCAAGGGCTGCCCGCCGTTACCAACGAGGTTGCTTTTCAGAGAGTAACGTGCGACAGCTGTCTGTGCCTCGGGTTCCTCCCAAAAATGAGAAGAATCTGCTCGGGTTCTAGAGCGGGCTGTGTTTAGCGAGTTACGTGGGATCAGAGCGGCTGTGGGGATGCAGCTGTGACGGCAGCTGTGACCTGGGTGGAGACAGAAAGTGCTGGGCTCTAGCGGGGATGTTGCTCTCCCCGTCTTGGAGAGGCTCATGGAGACTCTGAGAGGTCCCCTCAATTGTCTTCGTGTTCCTACAGGAGGATTAGGCGTTCCTGGGCCGTCCGTCGTACCCATCACCAACTGTTCCCTGAAACTTTTGGGGAGAGGCTTGTCCCCCTGCAAAGGGCATTAGTTCCCGTTGTCACTAGTGGTCTCCCCAACCTCACCCCTTTTTCCAAATCCGATTTCTGCTGCTGCAAAAACTGAGACCCTGCTGTATCCACAAGCACAAGAGACTGATTTTTCTGCAGCCTCTCTCTGTACGGAAGGGGCTGTTGCATGGGGCTCTCCAGTTCTTGTCCTCCTCAAGACCAAACCAACCCGCTCCTGCCAGTCATCCTGAGGAGTCGTGTTTTCCAGCCCCCAGTCATGTGGGAGGCTCTCCAGTTCATCCCTGAGCCCCAGTGCTGCGCCAGAGCTGGATGCAGCTCAACTCCAGACAAAGCCTTTACCAGGGGAGAATAAAACACACAGCTGGGATGGCGTTACGTGATGTTTGGACGTTTTTCAGCAGGGTTTGCTGGCCTGAGTCCCTGTTTTGCTATTCCGTAACATTTTGTTACTGAATTATCGTCTCATTTATCTCGTGAGTCCTTCTCTCCATCTGCTCCTTTTGGAAATTCAGGTTTGGGACTCAGTAAGGTTTGTCTTGCTTCAAGCCATGCTCCTGGGACTCTGAGTGCCTGCTTTAGGAAAAGACAGCCTTTGTGTCACAAACCAACAGGCTTTTGCAAAATGCCCTCTAAAAATAAAGAAATTACAGCAGAGATAAAGGGACACGAACTGGTGTGCATATGTTCTGCCCAAAAATTCAGTGGTTTGGGGTAGAGGGCAATCTGCTTCTGCAGTGTTGGTGTGTTGACTGCAGCAATAACCCATTTGTGGTCTTTTGGTGTGTTTGGTGGCAGATTTAAATTAAATGGAGGGATGGTGTGGGGTGCTGGTGCCTGTCCAAGCCCTGTACACAGCTGCTCCAGAAGCTGCTGGTCAGGTCACTCATTGCTCTACATCCAGACTGAGTACGTTCAGATTATCCCTTATGTGTCAAAACCATCAAAACAAAATGTTGCTCCTGCCAGGGAGGTGTCGTGCCACTTCCGGCACTTTCAAGGAGTCGGGAATAGTGCTGTGCCTTGGAAAAAGCAGCCTGGAAGCCGCAGGTTCTTGTGGTGGAAGCCAGAGCTGGCGCCCGTTGGCATGGCCAACTGGGAGCTGGGTGACTGGCACGAGTTGGGGGGCACGGGGTTCCCCAGCAGCTCCCTCACGTCCTTGTTTGTCTTCCCAGAGTCTGTAATGATGAATGGCTCCGACCTCGCCAGTACAACGGCATCCAATCCCAAATCCAAAGAGGACCAAGTAGTGAACGGCCACGATGAGAAGGAAAACAACCCCTTTGCGGAGTACATGTGGATGGAGAACGAAGAAGACTTCAACAGACAGGTAAGAACGGGAGAGTGGTTGCCAGCTCCACGTTTCTGCAGCTGAAATAGAGACGAGGAGAGGGAAAGGTTTCCTTTGATGGGCACTGTGAAGTGCATGTGAGTCGCAGCCGGCGTGGGCCCTGCACAGAGGTGGTGGCTCTCAGGAGTCGTCATCCTGTTTGTATTGGATCTGCCTGTAAGGACATGAGAAGAATAAAGTCGGAAAAAAAACCTCACAGTGCCTTTGACTCTCTCAGATCTTTCTGGGAGGAACAGTGACAGCACCGTCATCTTCTCCTGTGCTTTGCTGTGATGACCGAGACCTTCGCTTTCCACATGCTCAGCTGGAAGGAGAGGACCAGCGTAAAAATTGGTGCTCAGAATTTGAGCGTGTTTGTAGCCTGGCTGCCTCAGCAATGAGTTCCTGCAGCTAATACCTCTTGTTTGGGGCAGAAATCTCAATCTCATGAAACGATCTCAAATACACTTGGAGCAGCCAGACCACTTGGTAGGAGCGTTGGCTGTGTGCATAATGAGATGCATAATTGTGTGCTAAGCTCTTGAGAGCTTCTGGCAGACCCTGGTGGGATTTGAACAGCTCTTGGCTTGTGGAATAGCGATGCGACCCTGCGAGCTGGAGCAGAGGGAGCCGCTGCATAATGTCCTCGTGCTTCTGCTTGGGGTCTTTACTCACATGCCAGGGCAGCACGAGGCAGCAGGGACGGGCTTGCTGGAGGCTCGCTGGTCCCTCCTGCCATCATCCCAGTAGCTGGAGAGAAGTCAGCCACCTTGAGCTGGGCGAGGAAGGAGCTTACCCCTTCAGCTGGCTGAGCTGCGCCATGGGCAGGAAACCTCAGCGCTCCTGGACACTCGTCCCCTCCCTGAAACGTCCCCAGGAGCGTGGCCAAGCACCAGGCTCCCATCACCGGGGTGTCAGGAGACTGGCAGGAAGGGACCTCTGGGACCGCGAGCAGGCTGGGCAAAAGGATTTCATGTCCCCACCAAACCCTCGGTCACCAAAGGAGGATTTCGTCAGCTTTACAGGTGCCCTCAGCAGAAAATCTCCATATGGTAATACTTAAGTCTCATTCCCACACGAGGCAACTGCAGCCGCTGACGGTAACTCGTGGGGAGCACGTGGCAGCTGCCTTGTGCCGCCCGCATCACGTTAGCGATTGTTAGCGAGCTGTGACTCAAAGCTTTTATTTAATGATGTGATTAGGCAGCAGCCAGCCCCCACAAGCAGCTGTGCTGATGGAAACGTGCTGGATTAATTAGTTAATATTTGTAAAGAGCTGTCTTGATTAAAAGCCTGATGAAGGCAAAGCGCAAAGCAGACTTTGCTGCAGGGAGCATCCCAGGGTGGAGGGGAGCATGTGCAGGTGGAGGGAGATGGAGGAGGAGGAGAGTGGAGCCAAGACCTCAGAGCTTCTCCGTGTTGGGCACTGGGCTGCCAAAATACTCACCTGTGCTCTCCTGGTCTGCCAGCCATCGCTTCTGCGCTTCCAACTCTTTGGCAATGCCCTGGGAGCTCAGCCCTTTGTCCAGCTGCTGGTGAGATGCAGCTCAGGGGAAAATAGTTCATACCGAAGCTGGAGTTGCTCTTGAAGGGCTTTGAAGTCCATCTTTGTGCTGGTGGGGCAGCAGCCAGGGTGAGGAATCACAGAATGGTTTGGGTTGGAAGAGACCTCAAAGATCATCTAGTTCCAACACCCCTGCCATGGTCAGGGACACCCTCCACTACACCAGGTTGCTCAAAGCCCCATTCAACCTGGCCTTGAACGCTTCCAGGGATGGGGCAGCAACAACTCCTCTGGGCAACCTGTGCCAATGCCTCACCACCCTCAGAGGGAAGAATTTCTTCCTTAGGTCTAATCAAAATCTCCCCTCTTTCAGTTTAAAGCCATGGGCCCTGTCCTGTCACTACACACCCTTGTCCAAAGCCCCTCTCCAGCTTTCTTGTAGCCCCTTTAGGTACTGGAAGGCTGCTGGAAGGTCACCCCAGAGCCTTCTCTTCTCCAGGCTGAACAGCCCCAACTCTCTCAGCTTGTCTCCATAGCAGAGGTGCTCCAGCCCTCGGATCATTTTTGTGGCCCTCCTCTGGACTTGCCCCAACAGCTCCATGTCCTTCTTGGGACAGGAGGAGAGCTGTCCTGCACCAGGACCCACAGAAGGCAGCGCTCTCAGTAGAAGCTGTCCCTGGGCTGGTGGCAGTGCTCTCGTCTGGCCCTGTTCTTCTCCCTGCCCGGAGTCACTCCTGAGTGACCCTGGGAGAAGACGAGACCCCGGTGATGTGGGCACGGGGTGAAGGACAGCAGGCAGGTCCCTTTCGGTGGCCATGGTGGCTTCTGCCACCCCACAGACACCCCGGGGGCTTGGGGCTGCTGTAAGATCTGGGGCTGAACTTTACCCCCAGACCCATATTCTTTTCCATCTTCCTCAGCTTTCTGAAGCCACATCGCTTCCTTGCCCCCTCCAACAAAGGTTCTGCCATCCAGGCCCTGAGCAAAGGGAACAGGCAGGTGTTTCCAGAAACCCACGAGCTTCTTGGCACAGTCTTCCCTTATTTATGCACGCAACATTCCTTTTCCCATGGAGTCTGCACATCCCGGAGGGCGAAAAGGGAATGGTGGGCTCTTGTGCTGAGAAGAAACTGTGCTGACAGCAGCTGAGGTTGCTGCAGAAGGGCCTGGGGCGGGAGGTGACAGAGCTGCCTTAAATACCACAGGAAGCCAAAGAAGAGCCCTGAGCAAATAATAAACCTGGTTTGTTAAACCTGATTCAGGTTGTCACGGGACGGTGAAAGGGAGCTGATGGGTTCTGCTGGAGGGGTGGCAGGTAGGTGCAGGTGCGAGCGTTCCCTCCATCCCCTGGTCCAGGATTGACATTGTCACCGCATCCCCGGCGCACAGACAGCGCTGGTATCGGCCTCGCTGACCGGTTGCGTGCCCGAGAAGGTGTGGGAAGGGAAATGGGGCGCTGCTAGCTGCGGTTAGAGCATGGCCGGCAGCACCGCGACTTGGAGGAGAGGGAATGTTCCCCTGGGTTTGAAGTGTTGTGAGGGGCATGAAGCTCTGGGCTCGCTCCATCCTGCATCCTGTAGAAGTGCAGGATCCCAGGGCAGTCGTTGTCGTTGTCATCATCACCTGCCGGGGCGAGTTCGCAGTCCTGGGGTGCTTGGATTGGAGGGGTTTTTTTTAAAAAAAAAAAACGTGTTCACATGCTATGGCAGAATGTGGTTTCCAGGACAGCTTCTGGAAACTCGGCTGAGGGCAGCCGTGGGATGCTTTGCTGGCGGTAAAGGTGCTGTTCCCTGGCCAGACCCAATTTCTAAGGCTGATGGTGAGCAGCTCTCCAGTAGCCGAGGCTGGAGGCAGCGTCCGGGGCTCGATCACTGTGAGAGCTTTTCGCAGTCCTTGCAAGGAGTTTGCCTGGTAGTGATTTAAAACGTAGTAGGGACTGGCTGTGAATTAACCGGAAAGTCGGTAGCACTGTGGGTTTACCAAAATTACCTTCCCAATCTATTTGTGATGGACATGTCTCTGTAAACGCCGTGATGGGGCAGTGGGACCCCAGTAGCACACCGGTGGCAGGCAGGGGCTGCCCACCCATCCCCAGCTCAGGGGCTTCAGGACAGGGCACAGTGGGTCCCCCTTTCCCCCTGGGAAGCCAGTTTCAGTTGTAGTTTCTGTAAAATGGAAGGCTTTAAGCTTTTCAGAGCATTTTGTGGTTCATGGATTCCCTCAGCCCTCTTGGACTCCACAACAGCTGCTCCAAATCGTGCTGTTTTCTGGCTGGTGTCCCATCTGCGCGTTTTCTGGGA